GGAATAAGTTTATTTAGTAGCGTAACCAAGATTAATTTAGTAGAAAATAAAATTATAAGATGTTTTAAAATAATTAAGCTGGGGAAAATTTGTGTACAAGTGATAGACGGAAAGAGTTTTTTTATTAAGATTATTGTTTAAATGGTTTAAACTCAAATATTGTTATTAAAACTAAATCTTGCATTTAATTATAAACTTTAATATATATTATATTTTACATATGCCAATTAATAGTAATTTAAAAATAATATTTAATATATATAGTAAGAAATAAATTCCTAGTTTAAAATAATATACATGTATTATTTAAAATTCTATGCTTATAAATTAAGCATTTCTAGCTAGAGATATCTAATAATAATATTTAAAAACAACAAATCAAATAATAGATATTTTGTATAGCACAAAAGTAGTAAAAAAAAATTATTAATTAGTTCAACAAAACAATAACAAAAAAGTAAAAAATATATAAAATATGAAAATACAAAAAATAACTATTTAAATCTATTATATTATAGTATTTAATATAATATTTAAATTAAAATAGTTTTTGTTATAATAAAACAAAAATTAAAATTTGATTAAAATTAAAGTTAGAGCCAAAAATTAAAATAAGTCAAAAGCTTAGTTTATATTAATTTTTTATAAAAAAAATTTATATTTAACTTATAATAAAAATTTTAGTTGATCTTTAGTATAACTGGACAATATAGAATTATTATAAGATTATAATATATAAACATAGTATTTGAAATAATTTGAGATTAGTTAAAGTTAGTTAAAGGTTATAGTAATGTTTATAGTTAGCTCTAGGGTTAGGATTAGAGTTTTTTATATTGTAATTTTATAATATTCCTATATTGCCCAGCTATACTAAAGAAGATCTAAAATTTCTATAATTCTAAATACTAGTGTTAAGCGGGAAAAACGCACACCTTAAAATCCCTACTCATTAGGGTAAACCGGAAAAGGGTTTGCGTAACATTCAACGAGAATACTGTAATGTCTCGAAAGAGGACGTTCGATTTGGCAGAGCAAAATAGATAGTTTATTAATTATGATGTTTGTGAGACACCTTACAACTTAATAAATGCCCACACTTATATACTAATTACATATCTACATAATATGCTATATTCGCTAATTATACTAACTATTCTATCTATGCTATATGTGCTAGTTATGCTATTTCGGTCAAATCTGCTATTTATGCTAAATCTACTTGATATGCTATTTTCGCCAAATCTGCTATATAGACTAATTATGCAATGTAAATAATTATGCAATCGATCCACCATTTGCGCCTAATGCATCGTTGATCCATTCTTAATCATTACACTAGTAATATAAATTAACAAACATGTTTTAAAAAACTAAATTGGTATAAATTAGCTAATTAATTAGTATGAAGTATTTTAAGTAAAAATATTTTTACTTTAGAACTTTTTACAAACTTTAATTTTAATTCTAATTATTAAAAAATATATAATAATATGAAATATTATAAGTAAGTTTTATAATAAATATTAATTTATAAAAATTCTAGATATCTCTAGCTAGAAATATTTAGTTTACATATCTCTGGCCCAAAACTATGCTCAATTATGCAATTTTAATTAGGGTAGAGTTATATAGTGTTGGGTGAAAGTAAATACTATAAATAAAATTATCTTCTTACTATTTTAATTAGTATTTTAAAATATATAATTTTGTTTTATAATTAGATTTTTTAAAGATTTAAATAAACATATCTTAGTAACTATTTAATCAAATTTAATAAACTCATTTAATTATAAAGCTTTTTAAAATTAAAACAAAAAAATTTATCAAGCTTGTTTAAATAGTTTTCAAGATATTTTTCTCAAAGATAGTAAAAATACAAAAATAAATGATAAAAAAGTTGTAAAAAGTTTTATAAAACTTTAAGCAAAGATATCTTAATAACTATTTAAATAAACTTTTTTTATTTAATTTTAGAAATCTCTAGAATTAAAAAAGTTTAACAAATTTGATTAAGTAGTTGCTAAGATATTATTATTTAATATTAGTAAAAATTAAAATTTTTATATTAAAAAAAAACAAAATTTTTTTAAAAACTTATAAGCAAAGAAATTCTGATAACTATCTAAACAAATTTGATAAACTTTTTTGTTTTTAATTCTAAACATTATTAAAATTAAATAATAAATTTTCTTAAATAGTTTTCAATATATTTTTGCTTAAAATTAATAGAATTTAAAATTTCTACAATAAAAAAGCAGTAAAATTTTTTTTTAAAAAAAAAGCTTTGAGCAAATATATTTTAGTAACTATCTAAGCAAATTCTAGAATTTTTTTATTTAAATTCAAGAAATTTTTGGAATTAAAAAAAGTTTATTGGACTTGCTTAAATAGCTGCTAAATATCTTTATCCAAAGTTAGTAGATATTTAAAATGTCTATAATAAAAAACTAAAAATTTTTAAAATTTTTAAGTAAAATATTTTACTAACTGTTTAAACAATTTTGATAAATTTTTTTTGTTTCAACTCTAAAAATTTCTAGTTAAAAGAAAAAAGTTATGGAGTTTGCTTAGGTAGGCTCTAATATTTTTGCTTAAAATCGGTAATAATTCAAAATGCCTTCAATAAAAAAACACTAAATATGGTTTTAAAAATAAATTGAGTGAAAATATTTCAATAGCTATCTAAGTAAATTAGAAATCTTCCGAATTAAAAAAAAAAAGTTCACAAATTTGATTAGGTAATTGCTGAAATCTTTTACTGAAAGTTAGTAAAAATTCTAAATGTTTGTAATAAGAAAACTGTAAAAGATTTTTAATAACATTAAGCAAAGATATCTCGACAACTACCTAGACAAAATCGATGAACTTATTTATTTGATTCTGGTTATCTCTAGAAATAAAACAAAAGAAAAGTTCATCAAATTTGCTTAGGTAGCTGGCGAGATATCTTTACTCAAAGTTTTTAAAAAATTTTACAGTTTCTTTATTATAGGTATTTTGAATTCCAACAGACTTTGTGTAAGGATATTCAGCAACTTCCTAATCAAATTCAATGAATTTTTTTTTTTAATTTTAGAGAACTCTAGAATTAAAAGAAAAAAAAAAGTTCATTGAATTTGCTTAGATAATTGTCGAGATATATCAAAATTTTAAAAAATTTAATTTTTAAAAATTAAATTGATGTACAAAAAAAGTTTGACCATTTATTTTACCTACAGAACCAGTTCTCAACAATTATTCAGCCGAAAATTATTTTACAATCATTTTGCCGACAATTATTTCATTTTACCTACAAAATAATTGACCGACGACCATTTCATTAAATTATCTCGCCAACAATTGTTTCACCGTGAAACAATTGTCGATAAAATAACTGTTAGTGAAATGGTTGTCGGTGAAATGATTGCTATAAAATAATTATCGACAAAATTATTGTCGGGGAATTGGTTCTGTTGGTAAAATAAACTGTCAATGAACTGATTGTCGGTAAAATAAATGTGTCGGTTAATTTAATTATTACGTGATTGTCGGTAAAATGATACAAACCCGTTCGCAAAAAAACATTTTTGTTCTTTCCGGAAATAGCTTTCGGAAATCATATAGTAACCATGATATAATAATACAATAGGTGTTGGTTTGCTAATTAGTAATATTGAAAATAAATATTACTGTTAAGTTGCTAAATAATTAGTAAATTTACATACACGGATTTTCGTATAACAGTTTGACTTAAAGCAGGTATGTTTGTTTCAATTAAAATTTTACAATAAAATTGGCGAAAATTTATTCGGTCGTTAACACAAAATTATTTACTAAAAAAAACTTGAAAATGATAAAGCCCTAGAGCAAAACGTTAGTATTAAACGGCGAAAAAAATAGAATTATTTAAAATAATAATAATAAATTTTGCAATATGTGATCATTGCGAAAATAATATTTAAGTAATTTATTTTTAATTGCGGCGCGCTTTTAGCACCCTGATCAGCGATGTAATTGGTTTCGTCCAATGAAAAACGATATTTGTATTCATCTATTTGGAAGTTATTTCAGGAACAAGGGTAGGACAGGTGTCGATCATTAAGATCACGTGGCCAAAGTAACCGGCAAATCATAAGCTCAGTACCACTCTTAAATCACTGTATTACATCAACACTCAAAATAAATTCGATAACTTCCGAATATTGTACGTACGTTGTACGTAGAACAGGGCTTTGGCGTTTACTTAAAATCTCAAAAATGTAAATATATGCCCAGAAACAGTCTAATTCATTTATTTCACTTTTTGTATTGTCTTACAATCATAAAAACAAAAATATTTTTGTACACATCTATAAATTTAATGCATTTAGAACTCATTTACCAAAAAGAAAGGGCCAACTAATTTTATCCGTGTATTCTTATTGCCTCTCTCAATGAGCTTATTGAACGACCTTAATTGATTGTGATTATAATTAAAGTCGGAGTTACGATCATCTATTATCCGTATCATCGCTACAAATTTACAGTAAAAACGTTATAAGAATCATTTTTAATTAATTGAAATGATTGAAAGACACCTTGATTATTAGCAATTACATTTGAGAACGGCCTAAAAATAATCTTTGAACAACGTCGCGCCATCTATTTTTTGATTATGCTACATAAATTACTATATTAATTTATATAGTTTTTATCGTGTACACGTACGTACGTACGTTTTTGTCACGATCATCACTTCTAGAATCTTAGATTATAAAAATTATTTATTTTGGTAATTATTACGTAAACAGTAAACTGCGTTTATAAATGCGCCAATATCTATCTGATAATAACGTTTTATAAATACATCAAGAACAATTTTTCGAAATATTAAAATGAAAAAATCAATAATTTGGTCAAAATCATTTTTAATATTTTTTATATGCAATACTGCATTAATTTTAGCGAATGATTCCACATTATGCTTTGATCAACCAGATCCATTAAACTCATATTATATAGAAAGAGTATCATGCCCAATGGTAACAGAAGATGAAACTTATTCAAATTTAAAACGTGATACAAATATGTTCAATTTAACATTTATTTGTGGAATTAATGATCAAACACTTTGTAAAAAAGTAAAAAATGCTTTTGAATCAGCAGAAAAAATCCTTTCTGATGCAATATTATTTAAACAAAAAGTGAATGTTAATGCTACATTCACTAATATTTGTAACGTATATGGTGCTTGTAATACTTTAAATTCAGGAATTGAAACTCAAGTCATTGGTAAGCGATATTATAATCAATTAATCCCCTGTATTAAAATTATAGGGAATTAATGAATAATACCCTAGGCAAATAAACCCAGGATATTATATCAATTAATCAGTGAGTAAAAAACTCAGTCTATTGACGCAACTAGCAATTAATTATTTTCCAATACACTTGTTGAAAAATGACAAAGTCAGTATAAGTTCATCTTAATTGATAATATAATAATGACTAATTGCTAGTATTCATTTAATAATTTCAATTAGAATAAACTTGTATTATATTAATTTTTAATTTAATTAATTATGTTTTCCGATATTTTTGTTTATTTTTGTTTATTAATTATGTGTATCTTCTTACTGCATGTAGGTGGTGCAGCTCCAGCAAGAGTTATTATGCTCATGGATGATGATGGTGTTAATCGATTCTATCCTCAGGCTCTTGTAAAACAACTAGGAAATACAAATCATCCAAAATACAGCGATTATGATATTAGTGCTATTTTTAATAGTGAAAACGTTTCATATTGGTTTAAAGAAGATGGGAATATAAAATATAATCAGATAGACATAGAGATGGTCATATTACATGAATTGGTACATGGATTAGGATTTATTTCTAGCCTTAATGATTATATGAATGATCTACCACAAGAGTTAACACCTTATGTTATTGGTGTTATAAATAATACCGGAACTAATTATCATTTTATCGAAGGCATGTTTGATAAGCACATGTCTGTGATTTCCACAGGTCAAAGTCTGTCAGATATTGTTAAGCAAATGGACGTTTTTGGTGATGTGCAATATGTTACTCCGGAAAGTTTTACAGCAACATTCAAGTCATCACCTCAATATAAATTGGCAACTGATTTATTTGCAAAAGCTACTAATTCAAATACTTTAAGCCTTTTAAGTGGGGATGATACTATAATTCTTGAAACGTCATTAACTCCTTATAATTATAAATCAAGCATTGGTCACTTTAGTTATCAAGAGTATAGTAATACTAGTGATTTCTTAATGAGATATTCGGTCGAACATGGAGTAACGCTTCAGCAATATGTAGCAATGGGTGGGAATTATGCGAACGGTCCAATAGGCCCAAAATTAAGAGCATTTCTCAAGTCTCTAGGGTATTTTTTTTTTCATTTAAATCAACTAAGTTGTTATAGCAAAAATTTTCTAATTGAATTGATTTATAGGTATACGGTTCGTGACTCAACATCAGGAGCTCAAATTAGAATTTCTACAATTATCTCAAAAACGAAATTAATAATATGGTGCATGTTAATAATTTCATTAACGAGTTTTATTACGTCACCTTATGAAATAAATGGGTTTTTTTATAAAAACAATACAGATCTTATTTAATAAGATATTAAATACAATCAATCTAGTTGACCTAAAATCTATTGCAAAAAGTTTGTATATTTACAACAAAATTAGTACATAAATACCTTGTTCTAATAAAATGAGTTGAAAATTTTCGTGCATTTGGGAACACGAGCATTATCAATTTAAATTCAAATTCTAATACATATTCTAGAATTTTGTATTTCAAATAAAATACTTTCCGTAAATATGATTTAATTTTAAAATTAAAATAATTGTAAGCTTAGCTGTTCATCCTGGTGCATTAATACAGTAGATACACCGGAAGTGACTGCAGTGACTCTGATTTACTTTATTCCTTTTGTTCATCGGCTCATTTATTATTCATATCAATTAAATCTTAATTCCACCTGTTTGTAAGTGGAGGAATTATAATACTGTAAGTATTATTGTATAAGAAATTAAATTTTCGAAATTGATAAAGCAATTAAATGCAAGTACTAATAACGTATACGTATTTAAGAGCTAAAGGATTTAATTCGTTGAATTAAACGATCGTTATACGGTCCAGTATCAAGTAACAAGAAATTTAAGAAAACTTTTTGAAAGCTTGCATTTGAGAATTGTTAAAAGAATACTAAAGCAGATTTAAATAATTGTAATAACAAAATAATTACCGTTGCACATGAATACTTAAGAAAAGAGACTTTCATGCTTATTTGAGCATCTTAGAGGTTAATATTCATGTATGTATAAAGAAGTATTTTCATTATTAAATAACCAAATTGAATTGTTTGAATTGAAATATTAGGCTGGCTTAGATCATTGCTTTTGACCATTTGACACATTTTTATTGACCTGCCTTAAAAAGATTCGCGCTAATTTTAATCAATATGACGTGACATGCACATTATGTTCGAATATGTTTGGAAAGAATAATTACTAATTTCTGGAAGAAAAACAACCCTTTGGAAATAAGTATTAGCTGTTGGAGGTACTTCTTCACTGGGCACAGTTCTTGATTATTGAGAATCCAATGTAGATTATAAATATATAGCCAGTGCAATTTTATGTTGAAAAAAAGCAGTGGATCGTATTTATTATTTTAATTAATATGAAGCATTTAATCATATGAGTGCGTACATACTTTTCAAACTGAACTTTTTACATTTGGAGTTTCAAAGTTAACAAATAAGTAATGCATTTCGAAAATAAATAGGATTATATTAAATAGCATTTTTATATGTTGAATTAGAAATCGGAAAAATAAAATAACATTCTCTGAGTTTAACTTTGAAACCCCCCTATTGTGAAAAGAATGATACGTAAATACTTTCATATCCATTTGAATATCAACTTTTTTTTGTAATATTGTGATGTACTTGTCCATCCTGACCCACGATGTGTGTTTTTTTTTATTTTATTATAATTATTTGGGGGTGAGAAAAAAAAATGGACAGGTGGGCCAAGAAAATGGTTTTGCTATATAATCTATTGTAGCAATTGGCAATCTTCGTAGAAGTGAAAAATCTGCATCTTCCTCAAATTTCTTTTGCATAATAGGTGGAATGTAAAAGTAGCCAGTAATGGCGAATGAAGACGGCAGCCATGGAAAATCAGATAATCAAATAAAGCAAAATAATCATTTAAACAGCTCTTTATAGTTAATGTTAGAATGAGAAGATCATATAATAAAATCAATTCTAATAGCTCTTTATGGTTAATTTAGGTTAAATAATCTTATAAAACCATTCTAACAGCTTTCCAGCGTTTCAGCCTAAACCATATGCAAATATGTTACATGAATATCAATATGCAATGTCTGTCAAACGTGCATATTTGTCTTTTTTTATTATTAGAAAAATGCACTATTCGATTTTCTTATTTCGGAATTTTAAAATAGAATAGGATTTTTTTTTAAACACAACTTATTTTCGAAATAAGCTAATTTTAAATTGCCTATATTTAATCAGATATAAAATAAAGACTTTTTATATATATATATATATTTTTTTTTTTTATTCTTTGACAGTCTTGTCAGTGCTCAAATACAAATTATATTACTATTAGACTACAAAACAAAGT